TTGTTATTGTTCATAATTTTCTATACGTACCATGAAGAATTATGTGATTGTTATTGTTCATAATTTTCTATACGTACCACGAAGAATTATGTGATTGTTATTGTTCATAATTTTCTATACGTACCATGAAGAATGCACCGATCTTTTGTGTAAGTATAAAATCTACGTCCTTTTATTCACAGTGAAGCCAGAAGAAGGCATAAGTACCCAAAGGCTATAATGAATAATCAAATTTAGACGTTTATTATTATTTGTTTTTGTAGTTTTTATTTTTTCAAGAAAAATGTCTGTAAATGTTGATTAATTTTTCTTCTGAAAATAAAATCTAAGTAAATGTTTAATCAACATGTTTCTCAAAATTAATTATATTATATTAACAACATATGCATAAAGAATTTTTATCTTTTTTTTTGTTAAGTATCTCACGAAAACAAAATTTTTTGTTTATATTTGGTTATCTCCTGTAAGTGGTCCTGGATTAGATATTTGACATATTTTTTATGTTCAAATCTTCTTAATAAAGCCTTTTAGATTGAAACATGCGAAAAAAACTGATTCTCAAAGAAATATGTCTACATGGTCAAATGTTTGAACCTGAGATTTACTAATCGTGATGGTAAAGGCAATGAAGTTTATGGTAAAGGGTAAATGCACGAAGGTATAACTTTTCTTTAAAAATGCTTATACATTTATTGACTATTTTTTAAGAATATCTTCCCTGAGGTGAAAAACACCAATAATAGTGTATTGTAACGTAATCTATTGGATTGAAAATATATTTAAGTTGTTTTTGGCATATGCAGTCACTGAGGTTTATTATATAATATGAATTATCCTTGATAATTGTCCGAATATTCTAAGATTTTGTTGTAAAGATGATAATAAATGTTTAAGAAAATAAATATGATAATAAAACAAAATCCCGACTCAACTGGGATGTGAACGAGAGACTTCCAGATAATAGTCGAGCAGTATACCACTGTGATACCAACTCTTTGTAATGTAATGCCAAACAATAATTAAACATCCTATCATGTTATTGTGTTGTTTTCCCTTAATGTTGTAATAACTTTCTCTAAAGGTGATAAGTTAATTAAGAATTTAAAAAATTATAAAAAATTCCTCACACCACTGGGATTTGAATTCGAGACTTCCGCTTAAGACAATTTCAACGTTACAAACAGAGAGTCAAGCCTTATCAACAAAGGGAGCGTTAAGATCAGAGAGTAGCTTTTATTATACATTATCCTTGTATGGCTGATTAATTATCCTTCATATGAATGA